TCTGTGGGAAGATTCCATTGTCATGGGGTACATGAAAGCCATGAAGGGTTAAAAGTGGCCATTGGGCAACTTAACATGACATGTTTAGCAAGACCAGTGGACCCAATCAGTGGACCAATAGGTGTGGGGTGTGTTTATAATGGTAAACACACTCCACACCTATATAGAACCACTGCCAGCTTGCACAGTGCCATATTGACAACTTGAGTCCATAGCTTCATACCCAAACCCCAGCATCAGCCTGAAACAATTTATACCATGATTCATCAGACCATACCACATTATTCCAGTCCTCCAGGATCCAATTACTGTGTTATGAGTCAACTGAGACACTATGCTTGATGTCATGACATTAACAGAGGGACTGTGGTAAGTCTTCTGATCCTAAATCCCTTGGATGCTAAACTACATTGCACTGATCTCCTGGATATGTCTTTGATACCTCCTGCATTGAATTCAGATGTAATTTGAGCTAGTGCTGCTTGTCTATTATTGTGGACAATTCTAGCCAGATACGGCTGTTCCCAATGAATAGAAATACTTACCATCAGGTATTCCTGGTGCATGCATGACACAATGGATCAAGGATGCTAAATGTTTACACAATTTCAGATATGGAATTTCCCATCTCTCTGATACCCATTATCATGTGCTGTTCAAACTTTAATAATTCACATCACCTTGCCATAATCAGCCTGACAGCTGTTACACCTTATGCATTTAAAAGATAACACCATACAGCTTACAAAAATCTTGCATTTGTCTAAGCAATCACATGGTGTGCAACATCAAAATTTACATATTGCTATCCCATGACTTTTGGCATTTGAATATATATTTAAAATATACAACAGAGTATTTCCTTTTTGTGTCTAAAACTTAAGAAAAAATAAAATACAGTAATGAAAAAACAATCATTTATTTTTTAACATTTTTTGCTGATATTTTTACACAGTTTTTATAATTATATACATATTTATTTATACAGTAAATTTACTGTATATTATATATATATATATGTAGGAAGACAAACCAAAATCCAAAAAATTCCTCTATTATAATTTTTTAAATCTACATACCATAATATCAATGCACTCACATTTTACAAGCAGCAAGAACAGGTTTAAAAAATGACATTTTTCACTTGTCCCTGAGTAGAGGACTTAATTAATTTATTAAATAATTATCTTGAAAAAAGCAAGAAAAAATTATATATACATATATATAATTTTTTTGAAGTATGACAGCTGAATTTTTAAGGCTTTTATTATATTTAAGGCAGAAATATTTTAATTTAATAATACATAGTTTTATTTATTTTTCTGTGTATACAAAAATCCTTTATTTTGGTATTTTTTAGGTATTAAAGAAAGTGTAAATGTCTAAAAAATATGCAGAATATATATTATAGTTAGTTAATATTTTAATTTTTAAATTAGAATACATTAATGTTTTCAATTCTCTGCTTTGCAGGCATGAAGAAGGCCTTTTCTTTGCTCATGATGGGTTCAGCCAGGCCCAAATGGGTTTGGATGATGAGAATGAGGCCCAAGGTATCCAGATCAACTTACTTGTGAAAGTAGCTGATTCTGACTCCAAACCAGATCCCTAGAAAGACAGGCTGGTGCTTTTTTCACTTCATCTGTTTAAAATCTATTTAAAATACTAATACATTTAGTATAAAAGCATTTTATAATAGTATTTATATATTCCTTACTTGTTAATGCAACTTGCCAAAGAGAAATTATCTTATGTCTTGTGTCCATAGCCTGCAACACTTATTTTCTCATTTTTTAATGTATTTAAATAATAAAACAATAGACTATATCATTAATGTTGTAATCAGTGTATCAGCTTACAACATGGTACAACTATACAGTCTGGTTGCAATAACTAATCGGATAAATTGATATCAATATTCGGTTGACCTCTACTAGGCCCCCATAACAAAACTCTGGCTATACCAATGGGTGAGGGTGGCCAAATATCTAGCAGGCAGGCAGGCGGCTAACAGCCCGGAACTGGTCCTGGATAGAATCATTGGAAGCGTTATGGTGCTCAGTAAAGCGCATGAGTGAATGCCTATAATTTGGCTGTTTTACACTATTCAAATATTTTCGTCGTGGAAGCTGTCCTGTATTCAACAATACAGTGCTTCCATTGGGAATATCCATATACGAATATATAATAGCAATCTTATTGTTTTTTTCACATGTAGTATAGAAATTTGCAATAAGATACGTTCAAATATAAATACATATTGTGCGATTATTTCATATTTTAGAAAATACAAGGGAAACAGGGCTACCACAGCTTCCAAGTATGGCATGCCACTGCTTTCTAGTCTGGCAACTTAATGTGACTTTGATACCACAAGTGGACAGATGAATTTTGGAGAAATATTGAACCATGCTGTCAAATATCTGCCACAGTTTCTTGATATTTATATATGTGGGATTCTGGGTGCAAATGAACCTCTCCACCTTGCCCCATAACTGCTCAATTGGGTTAATATTGGGTAAACGTGGTGGCCATATCATTCATCAGAACTGTNATAGAAAGCATATATTATGAAATTGTCTCTAAACTTCTTAAAATATCAATATAAAAGAATGAAAAAGCTTATTTTATAATTATGCAAAGAAGTAACTTTTATATTTTTACTTAATGTAAGTAAATTTCATTCTTATACCTTTATTTTATATAGTTTAAGCGCCATAATGCTGACGGTATTTTTATTCATTTCAGGAATAATTCCTTGTATAAATTCCTGTTAATGCCAATGGCAAAATGAAAATCTGTTTATTGAATGTGTTCTTTAGTGTTCATAAACTCTTCAACTGAAATTCTTAATTATTATTGTTATAAAAGAATAAGTTTGATTTATAGATTTATTTGAAATATATATGCATTCATTTCAAAGATTTTATGTCAGATAAAAACAGTTTATGAAGTAAATGTGACTCCATAATCCAATGTTATTGGATTATGAAGTTATTATAAATTAATATTGAATGAAATTTATAGTTTAAGTTTATTTTAGATATGTAATAATTAGTTAATATTTAAAAATCTTTTTATTTCAAGAGATATATATTCAAAGATAATGCAGATTATAATTATTTCTCTTGGTTTGAATTAACCAAGAGAAATAATCTTTTTTTTTTCTTTTCTTATTTATTATTTACATTACTCAGTCTGAGTGCAGCTTGGATATAACAATGATGATAAATAAAAGATAAATTATAACTTAGAAGGAATGGAAATTTCATGAATAAACCTAGTCCAATTTAAAACAGAAATAAAAGAAATGTATTAGTGGATTATCTTAAAATGTTAAATTCTGCATGTTTTCAAAAGTATAAAATTATTATTGTAACCTAGAAAGCCAGGATCATCTCAATGGATAAGGCAACAAAGCACTGCTTTAAGCACTAGAGAATTGTTTATTGGCCGCACTCTTTGGTATAGCCCAAACTGCTTTAAGCAGCAAAGTGAGAGGGTTGGCAAAATGAGTGTCCAAAAATGTTCAAAGAGAGAAAAAAGGATTAAAAATAATAAACTAAATAAAGAAAATGTAGATTAGTTGTTTATAAATAGTTCATATGAGAGTGCCAGCACAAGAAGTACTCTCTGTTAGCAACCCATTCTGAAGCAGATATGACAAAAATCACTTTTACCGGTTCAAGGTGTCTTACCATTGATCTGATACTGAAGAAAACTTTATTTATTATTATCCTAATAATTAATATATTTTTTATCATTTTTAGTAAAATCCTCATTTCTTATTCGTATATTCTGAGAAAGCAATGACAGTTTTTTTAGCACTTGCCAATCATAGATTTTAGTGATTTTTAAAAGTACTCAATCAGTTTATTGAAACCTTTTTTTACAAGAATAATAAGTATTTATCATTTTTGGTTCCTTCTGAGAAAGATAGAAACTGTTACTAAAAACAGTTAATGTGCAGAAAATTAACAAAAACTCGAGTAGAATAACAATATATACTCAGTATTCCAGCTATAAACTGGATTTTAAAACTTATTCTAGTGTAATTCTTTAATCAGTTTTAAACAAAATAACAATTTAAAATTTTGGATATTTGTTGCAAATTAGTTTGCTTTTCTTATCAATTGGTAGCTCTATACACTTTGCACAGGATACCTAAACTTGATGCACACTCAAGTTAATCTCAAGTTATGCTATTATACATACAGGTAACTCGAGTCACAACCACAAACAGGAACACAAATGTTTTGAGGACACATGATACAAATTTCTTCAGTGACACTATTTACTGAATGAGTTTGTACCATATGATGCACTCAATGTGTTTGTGTTGCTACTCTCATAACTTCAGATTAGGCATTTAGTCATATTGACATTGTGCTTATACATTTATCTGATTTACATAAAAAAAAACAAAATATTCATATTTATAAAGTTCCCAATTTAAGAACATTTTACACAAATTAAACTAAGTTTTTATTGTAATTTAGAGACAATTTCAGTAGTAAATTGTAACACTTCTTAGGTCTCTGATATCTTTTTATAGATATTACCTTTTACAAATATTACAACTTCAAAATTACATATTATTAATTTGTAAAAATGTTTTCTCTTTTAAGAGAAATTATTTTATATACAACTTAAAATTGTGGATAGTAAAAATTTGTCAATATTCCTATCCACAAAAACAAATGGAAATTTTTTGAATTAAGGAGCAGATATTTTATGGATGGAGACAAGATTTGGATTTTTCCAATTCTTAAAATGTTTATAAAATTATAAATTTAAAATCTTAAAAATTATATTTTAAATTACCTTTTTATAAAAGAAAATTTATTAGTTTTGATTTTATTGTTGTTATTTTTTATTAATGAAATCTTAATTAGATTTCTTTAATATTTTAATGATATTTATAAATATCACTTTAATTAAAACTTTCAGAATTATTATTATATATATATATAATTAGTTAATTAATATCAAATGTTGGAGGAATGTATATTTATTTTAATTCCTGTTTATTAAATTTGTTAAGGAAAGTGATTTTTGTGAGTGTTTCAAATAGAAACAGTTGTTGTTATCAGGAAAAATTTATTTATTTTAATTGACAGAAACTCGGAAAATAAATTAACTTATACACTTAAACTGTATATATATATATATATATATATAAACTGAATAAATAAGTTGTTAATAAACAAACAATATCTAGCATACGTTTCCAGTCTTGAAACTTAAAATCTCAAAAGAAACAAATGTTTTTCCATGATATTGGAATCTTCAATGAGATAATATTGTAGAACTATGACAAGAATAAGAACAACTGGATCATTTGGAGAAATCTTAAGTGCAAAAGAACTTTAAATTTTAACATTTTTCACAAAATTATGTTTGATTATTAACAACTCCAAACTGCAAATTTATCCTGAAGTGTAATATCAGAGTTAACTGACAATTATCAACTAATATTTGAGCCTTCAAAATGAGGCTATCAAATAACCTGTTTGAGACACTTTTAATGTTATGACAGTTACTTATTTAAATTAAATTAATGTAAATAATATCACTTATGAAAGCAGCAAGGCATAATCAAGTATCAACAAATATGCCTCTGAGATATCAGTTACATTTCACATAACTAAATGCTTGTTTACTTTTTTGTTTTAAAAGCTGTTAAATAAATAAATGTATAGGCTATATAATCTATTGAGTGTCTGAAAAGTGTAGAATCATAAAAGAAATTTATATTCAAATAATATGTAGCATCAGCAGTGCCAGGTGGTGTAAAATAAGTGAGACAATGAGGCAAATGTTGCCCCATTGTACAGGGTGAGTCAGAAAGTTAGCTACATGTTTGATCTCTTGTGTCCTGGTGTTTCTTCTATATTATATGATTATGGGGAACTGGTAAATGACATTTGAAGAAGTTGTCTTTCTAAGAAGTCATATACAGTACTTAAGTTACATAAAAAGTACCTGTATCAGTATCCATGATGGCAGAGGATATAACAGCAAGTTACAGTTGCAGAGTGGACATTTGCTGACTGGGAAGATCTGAGACTGACAAAATATGATTTCAATATCACTTTCAACATCAAATGCCACTCATTCACTGTAAATCAAATTGTGTTAACATGTTACGAGATCAAACATGTAACCACCTGTCTGAGTTGGCCTGTACATGAAATTAATAATGGAATAAAAACTTGCATTGTTGTGCAATGGTGGCTCGTGACATCTAATATGGGGATGCTGTTGCAGGAGGGAGCACGACACACAACCCTTCTATTAGTGCCATGCATTGATCAAAACATTAATTATAACAAAATTAATCAAAACCAGCATCAATCAAAATCTTATGAAATTAAGACAATTTTATTAGGTTTGTATGCTGTTAGATATCCTGTGAAATATCTCCATATTAGATGTCAAAAGTTGCTACTATTGTTGTGTCTTTGCAGCTTTGCACATTTTTATTTTTATGATAAGACATTCAAAGTATTGATAGTTTTAAAAATCATTAGAAAAAGTTCCACCTGTCAAAAATTGCTGTCTGAGGCCAGTCGTAGCTGCCTCATACCACAATTCATCCCTATGTAGTATATATTTTCAAAGAATATATTCAACATTTTTACTTTTAACCTTTTTACAGACAAAATATTATGTTCTTTGTATTTGATACAATCAATGGGGATTAATATATTGACACATAAAGAGAGATGTTTTGTATTCAATAGATTATATGGAGAATAAACAACTTCATCTGTAAAGATATCTGGAGGTTGAAGAAATATACTGAACATGCCCTTAAAAAACATTCTACATATCATTTAAAAATAAGCTTCTTTTGTGAGTATAGACTTTTTGATTCATATATATGTAATATATTGCATATTATATGACTGAATTGACAAGATGGCAAAAATCTAGCAACTTGCTACTCTGAGGGATCTAGTTTAATTATGAGCTGAAGCCTTAAGAAGTTGGATAAACTAGTCTTGATATATCAAATTCCATTGCTCAACACCTGATTGATTTCATTGTAAGCCTTGCCAAATTTATAATAGATAGAAAATAAAGATTTTGCAGATGGAAGAATACAAAAAATCAAGTATAGGTTATGTAGGTAATATAATATGAGTAGATATGTCTAAACTGGTTAATAATCAATAGGAAATATGATTGCATTAGTATCCATGTAATGTATTTTACTTATAAATATGATTAAGAGACTCTATACTAAAGAATACTAGAAATGAAAGTATTATATTTTAGACAAACTATATAAAATCAGTAATAAAATTTTTAAGTTTTAATTATTTATCGAAATAACTTAAATGTTTTTACGTAATTTATTCCTTTTAAAATTTCAATAATTCTTCCTGATAACAAATACTGTTCATAATCAAAGATGTTAACTTTCTTGTTCAATTTTCTGTTATGATTAATTTATCATAAATTTATAAGTCAATTGGTATATTCCTATTCATATGGTTAAAATTAAAGAAATTTTGCAACTTGTACAACTTAATTGTTGGTCTAAGTTAATTCTGAGGTCAATTATATATCAAAATTAGATACAGAAAATTATAAAGTACAAGAGACAAAAAAAGTACAAATCAAAGAACTTTTGTAATCCAGCAATAATTAAAAAACTAAAATGTTTTCAGCCATTTTAAATGGCAATCTTCAGGGTCTAGAATCTAAAGAATTTAAAATGTAAAACGTTACAGAATGTAAGCATTTGTCTTCTACTGTGCATTTATATTCTGTAGCTTTTGTATTTTGAATTCTTTATACTCTGGAATCTGAAGATGGCCATTTAAAATGGCTGAAAATATTCATTTGTTCACAAATTATTGCTGGATTACAAAGGCTCATTGTTTTGAATTATTAGAAAATACATTAAAATTTGTCTAAATTTTGATTTTTTTTAACTTTAAATTTTATTTTTTAAATAGAAAAAAATTAAAATTTTGCTTTTTCTTTTATTCTGCATTAAAACTGGAATCAAAATTTTATTAAACAAATATCATTTTAATTTTTATTAGAACTTAAGATATTTCTGAGACACTTCACAATTGTTATCTGAAATTTATAGAGATAATTGTATTTTTTTCTTGTTTCTAAATCAAAACTTATCATTCGATTCAGAGAAAATAGCTTTCTAAATAGATTTTGATTTAAATACAGTTTTGTTTTTCTTCTTTAAGAAAAAATAATTCATTCTTTTTTCTTTAATTAAGAAATTTGAACAATTAAATCATTCATAGAATTGTAGATATTTTTCTCAACGTTAACATCAATAAAATATAATTTATACAGTCTACCACATATATAAATTCACCAATTGGTTTTAAATGTTCGACAGAAGCTTCATTTACATACTTCAAACTTCGTTTTGCTTGGCTTTTCTTCAAGGATGTTCAGCAACATTATGTTTATTCATGGCACAATATAACCCAGAGAGTTTGGCTTTTACTATTTATTTTTTTGATTAAAGGGACTACTTCATGGCAGTATGTTTCCCCTTACATTTTTATGTGCACTAATCTGTATCACAAATGGAACAAATGGCTATCCGTGCGAGAGATCTTTTTCCAGCCAAGATGGAACTGGTTGCCTTAATCTGGTCAGAAGTTTTGAAAGGGCCACATTGTGAGAAAGATAAAAAGTCTTGAGAAATTTCTCAGCTCTTGGCTCCATTGGTGGATATTGACGACCTTTACTCCTACCTAAACACTTGATGCTGTTTTGAGGAATAACTTGGCAGAAAAATCCTTTTCTTGAATCATATCTGAGAGTTATATCATTTATGTTTTTATATGAATATCAAAATTTTGTACTAAAGTAAAATTTAACTTTAATATATTTACCTTAAGTGATCTCTGTAATCAAGGAAAGGTTTAATTTTCAGAAAATGCTGAAGTTTATTCATTACTGTAACTGGATCTAATTTTAATTCTTCACCATCGATAATCATTAACTGAAAAAAAAGAAAAAAATTTAAATATTTGCTTATTTTAATATTTGTCTATTTTGTTATGAAGATAGTGAAATAATACTGTCACTATTTAAAATGTTTTCTAAAACTTGTAGCAACTACTTGAAAAAAAAAACGGAGGTAAAAAAATCTTTCTCTTCTCTCCATCTGTATAGTTATATATGCTTGTTATAGTTTGTATATTTAATATTTTATAGAATATATATTTATACAGTTTTACCTTTTGACATGGTGCAACATAGCCTGTATGGCTCTTGTGCCAATAAACATCTATCAACCAACCAACCTGTCCATCTTTTCATAAAAATATATTTTATTTATGAGCAAAATATGTTGCATTCTTGCAAGAAGTCTAGAATGATCAAAAAGTCTCCATGCATGAGACTGTCTTCCTTTTTTTTTAAGTCAAACCTAATAGCATATTTTTATATTCTTAACTTTGCTTTACTATAATGAAGGCCCAAAAACAGCTATCAGAAACTGTTTTAATGACTTCCAAGCAAACATGGGAGATGTCCAGAAAAATATGGAGAAAAATTAAAATTTGTGCAGAGAATGAAGTGGCTCGTATACAGTATAAAACTTCTATCTAGCTCTGAGAGTTTGTGGGAGTTCACTATATAATGAAAATTGGAACTAAATCAATAATTCATACTCACTTGCAATGGAGAATAAAAATTTAACCATCTATCCAGATGTTGGGCATACATTCCTGGAATGAGGCAACGATTCCTGAGTTCTCGTAATGGCTTTGGTGCATGGTCATTGGCAGTGACAACTTTATAAAATGTATAATTTAATGCTACCACATCTCGATGAGCACGCATGTGCTACAAAATACAAACACTTATTTAAAAAATACATGTCTAAATTAAATATTTCATCTTTTTTAACTTACCTGATACCATGAGTATGCTCTTTTAATGGGACTAATAAGAATCGTTACGAGTTTGGCAGTGGGAAGTAAAGCATGGGCTCTCATAGGTACCAAATCTCCATCAAAATATGTGGAACTCTTTTCAAATAAGTATTTATCAGTGGAATTTTTTGGAACGGGAAAGAAATTCATATACCTGTAAAAAGTTATTTTTAAATAAATGAAATATATTTTTTAAAAGCAAATGAATGTTCAAACATATTGCAATTTGAAAACTAATAATTTGTTAGTGACACTTTATAAGAGAAATGAAACTTATCATTTTATGACTCATTATCAAACATGAATTTCACAATCATACTATAAATACATTCAAGCCAAGTGACTGTATATGGCACATGAAAAATGACACAAAATATTCTGTAAGTTAATAATATATTTACATTATAACTTTATTTCTTTTTGTGCAATAACATTTTAATAGAAAAAAAATTAGTGTTTCCACCAGGCCGGTTTTCATCCAGACAAGCCCATTTTTAAACTCATGGTCCGGATTAATTGTTAATTTGTCTGGTTTTTGTAGAAATTATGATAAAACAAAATAAATTTATAAAAATATTTGTGAGAATTTTATTTTAACAGTTAAAGACTAACTTCACACCCCTAGTCAAACTTATCCCCATCTTATCCCAGGTTATGAGTGACAAAAATGTACTTTTAAAATTCTAACTTTCAAATATCTCTGACAAATATTAGGTTTGTTCCAACAGAAGTCCCTAACTGGTTTAAAACTGACATGCGCATTGTTCAGTTCTTGCTGTAAAATGACATTGTGCATGCCTCATACGGTTTCAAATTCAACCAGTCAGAGACTTGTGTTGGAACAAACCTATTGTCTGGGTCAGCAATTTTGAAAAGGTGGCAACACTAAAAAAATGAATGTATTTATTGTGACATTATCACAATGATGAGCTACAATTTTAATCATCTTTTAATTTAAGAAAATCACATCAACTTCTGGTCCATCAGCTTTCCATATCTGGTCTTGATTTTCATCTATGTAACTCCATTCTTGAGATTAATGAAGGATGGATGGATGAACAACAGTGGGAATGTATAGGACTGCAGTCTGAAAGTTGCTGCCCAATTAACAAGTACAGTAATACCCCAAACTTACGCGATAGGTGGGACCTAGCGGTAACCGCATAAGTTGAATTTGCATAAGTTGGGGTATAATTTCACATATAAATACATACAAATAATTTTTAATTGGGGCCGGAGACTAAAGAAAACAATAATTTAGAAAAAAATGTTTAATAAAATCTTAGATAATACATATGTATAACAAATTAGGCCTATATTATTTTACAATTTTTCACATTTACTTGATTATTACGCCATAATTTTAACATTGTTTCCATCTCAGCGATAATAC